CGCCCGGTAAATATAATTTGAACTAAAATTGAAACTTATAACACCTTAAAGCTAGGAAACCCATTAAAAGCCGATCCCAACACACATCAAATGTGTGTCTAAATACGGACTTATCAGGTTTTTTTAAGAAGTGTATTAATTTGTTTAGCAAGGGACGTTATTAAGTACGTACGTAACATAGGTAAGGCGTGTCTACTACGTACGTAAGGGTGTCCGTTCTTTTTTTAACTAAATATGGAGTAATTTTCTAAGTAGAATATAGAAATAGTTATATATTTTTTATTAAAGAAAGATACTACGTTGTATATAAAAATTTGATGCTTTAAGTGTAATGACAAGTGACTATAATAGTAATTATTGTCAAGGTAACTTTTGTTCAATATTTACACTTAACTATGGCATTATGTACATACAATAATATACGGTAACTCTTAGTCATTTTTTTGTAAATTAATTTTATTTTGATAATATTTTTTGAAAAAAATGATAGAATCTATTATCTCATTTCTTTCACTATTAATTAATAATTTGTCACGGTGATATGACAAGTCCTAATGAGAAGAGCTTCTAATGAATTTGGAGGACTCGATTCCAAATGCAAAATTGAAGCCTTGTTTGATTTTAATAATTATTAATAATATTGTAATATATCTAATATAACTATATTATAAGAAATGGTCTTATCAGGCACGATGTAGATTATGGCTTGAAATGTAGATTATATCAATAAAACGTTGGATTAAAATTTTGTTGAAGTGTATGCACAATATTTTTCAATAATTTATTTAACTGACTTCTCAATTGAATTTTAAATTAAAATTTTGTGTACGTGATCTAAAATTCATGAAGAACATTCTCGCAAAACTTATAAAACAAATCGATCTGAAAGCTCCTTGATCAAACAGGGTTGTCCGTACGAGATAGACATTTCTCACCATATTAAAATATTACCATTAAAAATATTGGGACCTCCAAAATTGGTGGGCCATGTTCCAGATGACCTATTGCACATGTTAAAAAGCAGCCCTCCTAATGATGTAGGTTTTATACTCGTGTGTACCACAAGCTCGAGCCAATGTATAAAAAAGTGTGATCTTCACACGGCCGTTAGGTTGCGGAGTCTTGAACCTTAATTATTCCACCAAACTTCTCACTGCTTTATCATTGATCCAAAAGGTGGAATCTTCCGCCCCGGAGCCTCCTACACCTCGACCTGACAGGGCACGTGGGAGGATGTAAATCACGGTGACTCTGTCAGCGAAGTAGTAGTAGGCTCATATACCCGTGCACGCCAGAGGTCCAGCTCATTTCAAAAGTTGTAACCTCCACACGATCGATGAGAGATTCGAACTTGTACTAAGTCTAAATGGTTAAGGAGACAGGGGACTAGGTATGCATGTGCATGTGATTGATGATATGATGCATGCTTTTACATCACATGCTGCCTTTTAGATATACACACATCCACTTTAACCCTTTAATCTGTTAAAAGCAGTGCTCTGCCTGCATCATCTCCCACATAATGCATTCATCATATCTGCGCTGCCCGGATACTCTCTCGCCCTGGCCTGGGGACACCTATATATCATACATATCCAGTACTACTCCATCCACTTATTTATTTCATTTCTTTTTTTAATTATTTTGTGTTTCTAAATTTTTGACATTTTATATTTTGTAACATTTATATGGCTCAATATCAACGATGCAGTTATTTTATTAGTAGTAATTGTGTCATGCACTCGCTTCATGTCACAATTTTAATTTGGCATAATTAATAAGAAATGCGTAAATACTTAAATGGTACCGGGGTGGGCATATCGGTTTTTGCAGTTTTAACAGTTTCGGATAGTTTTGGATTGGAACAGATTGAAAGAATTATTACCAAATAAAAATCATGCTATTTTTTGGTTTGGTTCAATTTTTTTAATGTGGTTTGGTTCGGTTTGAATTTTTTATTTTTAAATAATATATGAAGGATTTATTGATTTTTTTAATTTGGTTCGATTTTATTCAGTTACGATTGGAAAAAATACTACCAAACGCAGACCAAATTGCATATGATCCGGTTTTGATTCAGTTTAGTTCAGTTTGGTACGGTCGGGACGTGTTAAATCAAACCGACATGCCCACCTATATGGCCTTCGTTAATGATGCATTTCCAGTTTCGACTTCTCAACTTTTGACTAATGGAAACTAGTAACTTAAATATATTTAATTTTATGATGATTTTGTCATGAAACTAGTATTTTAGTTATATTTAATTTTTAGAAATTGCTCTAAATAGGAGCAAAAACGTTTTGAAATTCTAAAATAGGAGTATCATGTTTTTTATTCACCGAATAGGAGTAATCTGCCAAGTTTGGAAAAAATGCCATATTTTAAAGCCTGGTAATGCCAAACTTGGCAGAAATTTACTCTTATTCAAGGAATAAAAAACATGATACTCCTATTTTGGAATTTCAAAACTTTTTTACTCCTATTTAAGGAATTCTATCTTTAATTTTCGAGTTAGACAGTTTTTTTATTAAACACCTAATTTTAGTTTTGCACATTGAATTGTGCAATAGTAAAAATAGGTATGATTAGAGTTACTTTTCTGTCTAAATTAGCTGAATTATCAAAAGTTGGCGATTTTAGCTATTTTTATATAAGTTTTTTCTTTTTATTAATAAAATATTGCGTAAATTTTAAATATAATTTATTCACAGTTCACTAGATTTAGCCAATTTAGTAGTTTCAATCAAAATTCACCAATTTCACTATAATCATTTGATTCAACTAATTTTAGTGTTATCAAAAAGCTTAAAATTTCCTAATGAGCTTGTGATATTAGGAGTAAAATTTTTGATTTGTTGCAATGATTGCCTATCTGCCTGATTTCTCTTTGAGTTGGTCGAACTAATTAGTCCAATCATAACATAATGTACTTTAAATATGAAAACTTTTAATTATATGAATTACTACGTATTTAAATTTAACAAATATAATTTCAAGCGTCTTCTTTAATACAAACTCGGTCATGTATTTCTTAATGAGTAAATATCATAGATGACACATTAATAATAGTATTAGGTACCAACTATTGAATGAGTCAAATGAGTACTTCGATACCATCTAAGTTGACGATTTGAGTTCACCTACCTACATTATCAGAAATTTGTGTATAATAATAAATTAATGAGAAAATGATTTTAAATACTACGTAGTACCCATTAATTAATTGAATATAGAATAAAAGTGATACATATCAATAGAAAATCATTTATAAATGTCGAATGCGTGGCCCCATTTTGAGAAAACTTTATCTAAGAACATAAAGTTAATGAAGTTCAATTCTTTCGGAAGTGTTAACAATTGGGATGAAATTCATTCTTAAAACAATTGGGATGAAATTCATTCTTAAAACAATTGGGATGAAATTCATTCTTAAAACAATTGGGATGAAATTCATTCTTAAAACAATTGGGATGAAATTCATTCTTAATGAATCCATCAGAAAATCAAGGTGTATTGCCATTTGTTAACAATTAACCATTAAAAGACAAAATAAAATTGGAGAGTAAAGTTTCCTATGAAAATGAGTGCAAATAAAAGTACTATAACTATATTTAAATGTTTTAACCAACAATACTATTCATTTTTTTTTGCCAAAGAATCAAGTGCGGTAGCCAGAATTTCACGCTTAAAATCTACTATCCATTACTTTCATCACATTAAGAGTTAAGATATTAAAATTTAACAACACCAATGCTTAAGAAAAACAATATCAAATTATACATGGAGCAATAAAGTGTGTTGGGTGTCGAAAGAATTCCGGAAAAGTATCAGTTTACTAAATAAAATAAAATACATGAACACAATGTACTATATATAAAGGTAACATGACGAACTTTGCAAAGTTTTATGAAGTCTAGTTTGACCTATTGATGGACTCGGGCCAGGTCGGGCCCGGGCCGGGCCGGGCCTAGGCCCGGTCGGGCCGCCGGGTTGTATGACATGGGCCCGGGTCCGGCCCGAGGGTTGGACGGGTCCGGTTCGGGCCGGGCCACCCGCCCGGGTCACGGGTCGGGTCCGGTTCGGGCCGGGCCGGTTAAATTTTTTTTTTATAATTTATATTTTATAGTTTATAGTTTTATACGAGTATTAAAAACAAACTTCAATTGCATTTATTTGAAATGAAATAGGAACTACATTTGAAAATTAAAACAAACTTTAAGAGAAACATTTTGAAAATTGTAATCAATCGGAACTTCCCGCACCTCCCGATCCTTTGGCTTTGTCACATGACTTCGTATGCTTGATTGTCATCCCGAATCCGCCTGAAACCCTCATGCTACATTTTTTCTCGCACCATTTGCAAATTGCGTACCACATCCCGATCTTCGGATCCTTCTGCTTATCAAAATTATACCGTATAATGGCATCTTGATTTTCCATCTTAACTTCTTAAGTATAAACTATAAAGTAGATATATAAATAATAAATATAATATATTGGAGAATAAGAGAATTAGAGAGTAGAGAGTTAAGAATAGGATTTAGGAAGAATTGGAGAAGAGATATGAAAAAATGTTTAAGATTAGGAGTATTTATAGGTTTTTTTACCCCCCACCCCCCACCACCCAACCCCCCCGGACCCCCCCTTTACCCCACCCAACGGCTATATAGCCGTTTGGGTTGTCCCCAGCCCCACCCTTAACGGCTAGTAGCCCAAGAACCAAAAAAAAAAAAAATTAAAATCTTAAGACCGGACCCGGGGCCGGGTCACATTAATCCAGCACCGAGCCCACCCCGCCCATTCCCACCGGTTCGGGTCCATACCCGGTCCCGGACCGCCCGACCGGGCCGGTCCCGGGCCCGCACAGTACCGGGCCGGGTCGGGTCACGGGCCGGGCCGGGTCACGGGCCGGGCCGGGTCACGGGCCGGGTGGCCCGAACCGAATCCACCCCTAGTTTGACCCGTGCATGAATCTGCATTTGTGTTTCGAGGTTCTCTGATACATAAGAAATAAATAATCTTCAACATAAATGATGAAATAACATAAATTATCCAACCACGCATTTTAAATTTATACCTAGAATTTCACCTCAACATATAGTGTAGGATAAATTGAAGGTTTGGCCTCATATGTCATTCGGAGTAACTAAGAAATGATCTAATTAAATTGTAGAGCTAGCTGCTTTACATGCAACTTTAGTCCCATAACTCTAAAGTCTAAACCTTCATCAAGTGAAGGATAATTTGGCAAGAATTTAATGTCTGCTGGCACTTGCAGTTTGGGGTTTTCACCAAAACCTTGTACAAAAACGCCTCAGATACCAGAGTACCTGCATAAATGGAAAGTGGATACTGGAGTGGGACCTTCCATAGGTAACTGAGGGAAAAATCATAATAGTAGTGGCTCATTAGCTCAATATAAATCAATTGACTCAAGGACCCGACGAGCTTGGATGTGAAGAGCATTTAAGCGTTGTTCAGGATCAAGGGTGGAGCCGAATTGGCTAGCTGCCCATATCAATGATGCAGTTTTTTCACCCAGGTACCTCCTCACACCATCCTGTATTGTTGCCATGGGCAATTTATCCCTCCCCTCATTCACATGCCCTATAAGAAGCAAGAGAAACTCTCCGCATTTCAACCTGGTCAAATCGAACAAAATAATCAGGGGGAAACATTTCAACCGCATTTCATGAAACGTAGTAAATCAGATGGTGATCTAGAGATCTAGAGAAAGTACCTTAGATTTTCATCTACTTGTTTGCCTCTGATTAGTAAAGCAACCTCCTCTATGCCATTGCAAGCCTCAAATTCCTGTGATAACATCACACGGGAAAAAAACTCTATTCTTAAATCTTTTTCAGTCTTCAAATCGCAATCCACCAAACACATGCTTAACTGGAATCCTCCCAGGAAACATGCTGTTGAGATAGAAATACACAACTACAGACATAACCAGTGATCTTTTAGGATGGGGAGGGGGAGTTATACATGATAGTCTACAACAACAACAACAACAACAACAACAACAACAACAACATCCAAGCCTTAATCCCAAAAGAATTTGGGGTCGGCTAACATGAATCAATCTATGATAGTCTACATTATTATAAAATGATCAAAGAAAAAACGATAATTAATACCTACAATATAGAATTTGTCAATCAAATCCCATGAATAGCAAAAATTAAAACTTATAAATCTGAATGCAGCACCACAACCTGAACAAGGCACTATCAACGCCACAGGCAACCTAGAAATATAACCCATACACAAAACACAAATGCTAAGAATGCTTTTTCCTTTGGACGTGACAAATAATTTGCTAAAAAATTAATGTCTTAGAGAGTACTGCAGTTCAGTCTTTAAGAGACTAATGGGATGATGACTGAAAAGAAAATTGGTATTGTAAATCACTTGGTCCTAGATTGTTTTTTGTTTATTTATAGATGTGGGTGATATGTTTTTCTGCTGCATATCTACTTACAATGGCATTAAATATATGGATTACTAGATCTTTGATGAGTCAAAATATTAAGTAATATAGCCTTGGCTCACTAAACTGTCTGCACTTCTTTGTTATGAAGCAGCAGTCAGTTAGTTCATACAATTTTAAACGTGATTATCATCATGGGTCATCCGGAAACAATCTCCCTATGCTTTAGTAGGGGCGTACGTCCGACCCCCTTACCCTACTGTAGGTGGGAGCCTTTGTGGCACTGAGGTAATGTTATTTTTGTTGTAGCCTAATCTTGGGGGATAATCAATTTTGATAATCTATACATATTACATACATTAATACATACACATGTACATATATGCTACTCTGGTTTCTATGTCTGGTCAAAGAGCTATGGTGCAAGGCATTAGAGGGTTGTCCTATCAATGTGAGACCCATTATGCACAGATCTTGAGGCTCTTGACCTCTTTACTTGGATGCCCCCACAATCACCATACAGCTGCCTAGCTCTTTGACTACAAGGAGGACCCATTTCTCATACATGTGCTACATAACATGAAGTGTATACCCAAGAAAAGTTGGGTGAGGAAAGGTACATAAAATGCCTAATTCAGCAAATGTATGAAGCCTTCTATAGATAAGAGAAGCCGAAACACATACCATTTGATTTGTAGATGAATCCAGCAGAATCGAAATCAATGCATCTAAACAAGCACCTTGCTCAAGTACCCCTCGATTTGATAACATGTTCATTAAGACCTGTTTATTAAGTAAAAAATAGTGTCACTGAATCAAATTAAGCACTGATATCAATTTTTATAATGCGTGAGAGAAATTTCCAGGTGAAAAACAGTATTAATGCACCACAAACGTCAAGTAAAATATCATAGCTGGAGAAGAAAAATGTGTACATTTACTATTTACACACCGGAATGGCCTTGTATTTATGAGCCAAAACAGTGCTCTCTCGATGAAGAAGGCAACACCCTTCCAAGACTCTAAGTGCAATGGCAGCTTCACCATCAGTAGAAGGACTGGTTATTCCCAGAGGTTCAACGGTGAATATATGGTCAAGGCTCGCCACATTCTGATCCTCGTGTTCTCTCAGTGAATGTTCAAAAAGCACTGGAACCACTGCAACATCATTGATACATTATAAATAGTAAAGCCCAATTTCAACTGAAACAAAGTTTATTAACCAATATGTCCTTGATGATTTGAAATTTAATTGAATCAAACAATCAGTTAAGTCCCCACCCTAGGTGGGAGCCTTTGCGGCACTAGGGTAAATGAAAATGATGAATGATGATGAAACAATCAGTTAACTCTAAAGATGGCAAGGGAGGTTTGATTTGGCAATTAAAAGCAATTATAATGGCAAGTTTGCTACCGAAACCAGTAGGAATGCAAGTAAACTTCATGCTCCAGCACTAAAACTGGAGAAAATTAAATTAATTAACCAAAATGTGGAAAACCATTTAACATACACCTGGGAACCCTGTAATAAATATATAAATAGAACTGGGATTCAAAGATTAAAAACAATGGAGAGAAAACAACCTTGAAGCTCAGGGATAGATTGGCTGTGGATGAAGAGATTGATGGTGGCGTCGCACTCGGCCACGGATCGGAGGAACTTGAGAATGCGGCGAAGGCCACGTACTCGGAGAAAGGAGAACTCAGCGCGTGCATCGCTTAGGCCGGTCCGGAGTGCAAGTGAGATCTCCCTGTACAGTCTCTGCCTATCCAGCAAGTTGACCAGGTCTTCCACCGGAGATTGCGAATCATCCTGAGTTCCCGGGTTTGATCGGTCCCTCCAAAACGGTGTCTTCAGATACATTTTCACCCTTGTTGATATCAACGGACGAGGGTTTCTAAAACGAACGACAGAACATTTCACCGGGAAGCTTACTCCGATGATCCATTCATTTTAAAAAGTGTATAACTGTATACTCCAATTTTGGTTAAATTTTAATACAGCAATTGCGGGTTAAATCTTTATTCCTCTTTTTTTTGAACCTAAATCTTTATTCCTAAAATATGACTTATTTAGTTTTATTAAAAGAATTAATTTATTAAAATTTCTTAAATTAGGAGTGAATGGATCTTATTTTAGAAATAAAACATCTTTAGTCCTATTTATAAACTTTATCATTTGTTTTAGTCCTATTTAGAGAAGTTTCTTTAAAAATGATAGTTTGGCTTAGGGTCGGGCATAACAATGTTCGATTCAGTTTTTATTGGTTTTAGTTCGGTTCAATATGACACAGATTGAAAGAGCTATTACCAACCAAAAATCATAATCTCTCTGTTTCAAAATTATCTTTATTCTTTTATTTACGTATGTCCCAATACAAACTTTTTTTCTCTTTTCGTAAAGAATTTGTGATTCATAACATTTAACCTCGCTTTCTCTCTTCTCTGTATAAATTTACGCCACGCATTTCCCACTTTCTTAATTCACGTGCAAAGTCAAAACAGGAGTTTAATTTGGAACGGAGGTGGTACTTTTTATGGTTTAATTTGGTTCTATTTAGATTTTTTATTTTATAATAGAGAAAACTATCAAATAAGTCCATGTTCTATAACCAAAATGGCAATTAAGTCCATCTACTTAGAAATCGCTCAATTAAACCTTTGAACTACTAAAAAAACTCAATTTGGCGTTTTAGCCGGTCACACACCGGTTAGCCGGTTATTTGGTGACTTAGATTTCAACGTGGCTTTAATATTTGGGTTCATCTATGGTACCTTCTAAAATAAACAATGTACCGGTACATAAACATTTTTAGCCAATCACATTATAATATGAAGCCACGTTAGCATATTAGTCATATTAGTAGACCAATTTTTATTATTTGCATTTTAGTCCCTAATAAAAGAAGAGTTAACAAATGAAACACTCAAATGTTTGCCCTGTCCTCACGTCATTCCCGTAAGATCCCCAAGAAGCCAGGCCGACGAAACCCAAAAACGTTGCTGATACAAAAGGGAATCATATTACTAAATCACTAATCATTTACTGGGTCCAGAATTTTTACTAAAACATACCAATCAAACATCTGTCAAACAATAAAATCTAAGATTTGGCTTTTGATGCATCTTTTCATCTCTTTTTAACAAATAAGGCACCAACGAAGAGAAAGGTGGAAAGATCTAGGGCTGGGAATCTGAGCGACTGTTTCTTAGGAATTGAACCAATCTCTTTACTTGTTAACTGCTTTACTAGGGACTAAAATGAAAATAATAAAACTGATTCCTAGGTTGTTAACCGTGGCCTAATATTACAATGTGATTGGTTAAATATTTTGGGTACCCGTACACTGCTTATTTATGAAGGTACCGTAGAAATTTCCTTAATATTTTCTTTTAGAATCCTTTGTTGACCGGCTTTAATTTGATGACTAGATTACACATCATCTTCTTCAGCTCTCTGTTAGATTCATCGATGAACACCTCCACGGCCCTGCCGCCGTCAGTATTATCAACATGCCTAACAATATTCGTGAGTCGGATACTGCAACCAATGAGAGATTGAAGGTTGCCACAACATGGATTTTCCGCATTATTAGAAAGGAAATCAATTAGATGAAAATTTCAGAGAGACTCTTTAAAAGGTTGAGATGTTCAATTAGATGTCAAACGATTTCTTGATAAAGCTCTGCTTCTTTTCCACCATTTTAATGGTCTCCATAGCGATGTCCTGACGAGGGAAGTTGAGGGTAGAGCGTGAGTATGTGGTCTTCGGTCTTGCTCTTCCAGATTGAGAAATATGAATAGTTGTAATAAAGAAAGAAGGAAGCTCTTCTGGGTGGGAAGATGAACAGTGGGGATAAGGAAGATGGGTGCTCTTCATCTGGCCGTTTGGATAGGGACTGAGGAAGATGAAACGTGGGGATAAGGATGATGGATTATCTTTTGGGTGAGGACGAAGGAACAGGGGATAGCTTTAGAAATTACTCCACGTGCGACTAAAACTATGTCAAAAACTCAAAATATAATTTGCTATCTATTTCTTTTCAAAATAGGACCAAATTAGTCCTATTGGAAACATACCTATTTTTTCCATCCATTCTTACCCTTCTTTTAAATATGAGTTAATTAAATGTTTAATTCATAATAAATTCGAAAAAAATTCAAAAATTCATAGAAAAATAATTAAAAAATTTATAAAATATTTATAAAATAAAAAATTAAAAAAATAGTTTTTTTATTTTTTAAAAAAAATAATAAAAAAAAGTAAAACTCCATAAAAATATAAAAAAAAATATATGGATGCCTTTCCCACCGTCTGAACTACCTCCCTGCACCACCATCTCCGGGAAGTTAAAAAAATTCCATTTTTCTTAAAAACTGCCATTTTTTCCTGAAAATGCCAAAAACATGACATATTTCTCTTTGAGAATGCCAACATTTTCATTATTTTCTGCCATAAATATGGCATTCGTAATGAACTTGACATTTATTTCCGGTGACTGGAGGTGGTGGTGCAGAGGCAGCAGAGGCGGCGGTGAATTTTATTTTATTTTTTTGAGTTTTTTAATTTTTTTTTTTATTTTTTTTTTTTATTTTTTTTGAAAAAAAATAAATTAATTAATTATTATCGAAATATTTTTATTAGTTTTTTAGTATTTTTTACGAATTTTTATTATTTTTTATTATTTTATTATGAATTAAAGCATTTCAATAGCTAGAAGGGTATATTTGTCCAAGACACATAATTAGTTCTATGAAAACATAGTTTAGTTTTTGGTCCTATTTGTGCAAAGTGAGTGACTTTTAGTCCTATTTTGATAATTAACCCGGGATAGCATAAGACGGAAGAGGTCAACAGAAGATTCTGAAAAAAAAGAAAAAAGAAAAGCCATATGGAAATCCACGTAAATTTATAACCGGCTAACCGGTGATTGACCTACTAAAATGCGAAATTGAGTGTTTTTTAATAATTTAGGGGTTTAATTGAGTGATTTCTTAGTACATGGACTTAATTGCCATTTTGGTCATACTACATGGACTTATTTGTCAGTTTTCTCTTTATAATAATATATGAAGATTTTATTGAATTTCTTTAGTTTAGTTAGTTTTTTGTTTTTTATTTTGTTTCGGTTCAATTCAGTTTAATAGGGTTTGGAAGAAATACGGCCAAACTCAAATCAAATTACATATGATTCGATTTCGGTTCGGTTTAGTACGGTTCTGTTAAACCAAATCGATATTGTTAAAAACCTCCTATTGTTATAGAATGTGTGGATGATTAGGGTCCAGTCCAGTAGTACTTGTAGCCCTATTCCTTGTCCCTCTTGTATATATATCAGGCATGCGTGAATGAGGCATGCGTGAATGACTAAAGTACGTCTCTCCACTCTATTCATTACAAGTTATCACCAAGATTATCTCGGAACAATGATAAAGGTTATAAACTGGACTATGAAATGTGTATGGTTGACGGTAGGGTGTAGGGATTAGATCATATAAGAGTGGAGGGAGTGAGGTGCGATCTTTGGTCTGCTACGACTGTTGGATCTACAGGTCGTAGTTCTTGAATGAGTGAAAGTTTAAGCGTTGTAAGTTCAGACCTTATATCCTCCCTAGTAAGATTAACAAATGATACTCTGACACACTTTGTGAAAAGTAAACTACAAAAATATATTGTCAGTTTTTTTACACATACTTCTCTAGACGTATACTATTGAATCAGTATATAGCAAAGAAGTATCACTCAAAAGCTTTTAGCTTATACGTGTGAATAAGATTTATTGTTATTATGTTTTTTTTTTAAATAACAATGATTTTGGGGAAAAGAAATCTCCTAGGAGCTATTTGGATAAACAAAATTCCAAATAGAATACGAAAATAAATGTTTTGAAATAAATCCTTGAAGTTAAAATGTGATTATCTAATCATGATATAATTGAAAAATACACTTTTAGTATTACTCTTCATAGAATCTCTCAAGAAAAAGAGATTCAACATATAAGAGAGTAAATATAAAATTGGTTTTATGAATGTTCATTATGGTGAGAATAAGAACCTTCTCTAATTGTTGGATTTATCGATTTTTTTAATCCCTTTCATAAGCTTTATAAATATGGATATTACTACTTCTAATTAGACTTTTATTTAAGTCTTAAACTTTGGTATAAATTATACTCTCTCCGTCCCATAAAATAGTTCCCACAAGGATTTGGATCAGAGTTTGAAAGTGTGAATAAAGTAGAAATGTATGGTTGTGGTTGAGTAAGAAAAAAGTAAATGAATGGTAACTGATGGAGTATATGGCCCAGGGACCCCCGGCCCACATACTTCCTCTACCACAATCAGGCCCAACAGGCCCAAACGGGCCAAGCCCAGCAAAATGGAGCTCTGAGCAGCCCACAATACGCAAAGGGGTGCCTTCGGCCCTATGGCCGAAGGCTACCAGTGACGGAATCGAGCTCAGAAACATCACAGGAGAACAAGGCTTGAAAACCAAGCCTTCGGCAACTGCAGCCCTCGGCAGGTAGGAGCCCTCGGTTAGAAGAGGCATCACAGGAGAACAAGGCTTGAAAACCAAGCCTTCGGCACCTGTAGCCCTCGGCAGGTAGGAGCCCTCAGTTAGAAGAGGCATCACAGGAGAACAAGGCTTGAAAACCAAGCCTTCGGCACCTGCAGCCCTCGGCAGGTAGGAGCCCTCGGTTAGAAGAGCCTTCGGCCCCGCACCCTTCAGCCGAAGGCATCCACCTCGACAGAATATCCTCTTCACATGCGCCTGGATCACCGTACCAAGTTCAAACGTCACATCCAACCACCGCATTTAATGCGGCCACATGCGAGTGCCAGTGCCACCCCGGTCGAGGTGACCCCTCGACCACCAGAAAACTGACACATGTCCTTATCTAGCATTTATTACTACTATAAATAGCACCCCTTTCCCCCATTGTAAAACACGCTCATTACATATCGAATATACACTCTCTCTTACTTATTTGCTCTGACTTCTCTCCAGTTATTCTCCGCAATAACCCCTCGGATAAGCTACCCCCGGGTACACTATCCATCATTTGGTGCTCTCGTTGAGAGGTCGAACGATCAAGTAAGAAACCCTCCCCCTTCGCCAAACACTAGCCCTCTACCAAAATGGTGAGAACAACACGTGCCAACTCCAAAAACGTAGAAGACAAGAACCTGGCCCTCGGCGACGTCAACGCCCCCGAAGCCTCTCACAAGGCTCCCGAGGGCGGTGTCATCGCTGGGCTGGAACAGGCGGCTGTCGACCTACTCCTTCAGATCCAGCAGAATGCCCCCGATGCCCGCCTCGACATCGAGGCCAAGAAGAAAAACCGGAGCGATGACCAAGTCAGCCCTCCGGTCCTCACCATCGACGTTCATTCGGCACTCTCCGCCTTCATCCAGACGCTAACTCAGAACCCGGGTGCCTTCGGCACCCTGGCTCCGGCTCAACCCCAGGTTGGGGAGAACATCGTACTTCCCCCTCTGCCACACCCCTTCGGAAACCACATCCCTCGGGTTAGGAATAACGAAGGGGTAGTGGCCCAAGACACGGCCTCCCAGGAAGTTCAGTCCCGGGACCACCACAATGACAACAGAGAAAGGCCCTGCACTTCCGCCCTCAACCGGCTCGGAGGGGGGCAAGACCGCCGAGGGCCCCAAGAAAGCGGAGGGTCTGTCTCGAGGGCAGACGAGGAGCGTCCCCCTCGGGACAAAGGCAAGGCACCCCTTCATGCCGACGATGCTCGCCACCAGATCAACCAGGCCCACTCGGCCCGGGTTCGTTCGCAGGGGGCGGAGACCCTCCCGAAGGACCCCCGGGACGAAATTATTGCGGCCCTCCAACGCCGACTTGATGAAATGGAGGCCGACAAAGCTCACGCCACCACCTCCACCCCTCATTCAGACCTCAAAATACGAGGCCATGATGGCCAAAATGGAGGAATTACAGAAGAAGGTAGCCGAGGGCTCCGGGGAACCCATCATCCAGCTCCGGACCCGGACCCGGACGCCATTCACCCCAAGGGTATTGGCGGCCCAAATCCCGGAAAAGTACCGAGGGCAACTCATCAAACCCTATGAAGGAAAAACTGATCCCCAGGAGCACTACAACAGGTATCAAAACAGCATGATGATGATGGGGGCATCAGATGAATACTTATGTCGTTGGTTCCTTTCCACCTTGGAGGGACCAGCATACGAATGGTTCAATCGATTGCCCGAGGGCAGCATTGACTCTTGGCAAGATCTTGCCCAACGCTTCCTCACCCATTTTGCCAGAAGGAAGCGCGCGAGAAAGCACTTCTCCCAGCTCCTCTCCGTCAAGCAACAGCCTGACGAAACACTTCGGACCTTCATTGACCGGTGGATGAAGGAGACAGACGAGGTCGAGGGCGCCGACGAGCGTACCCTCCTCGTCCTCTTCCAGGGGGTTCTCCGCAGCAGCCCCTACGCACGGAGCCTCATCACCGACCCCCCAAGATCATACCTCAGAGCACTCCAGCGGGGGAGCCTATACGCCGACGCCGACGACCTCCACTCCTTCAAGAAGAACGAGGGCCAGCCCTCGAAGAAAATAAACAACACGCCGGCCCCAAATGTGCCCTCGGCCGGAGGCCGAGACCATGGAAGCCACACCCAGCAGGGCCGTAACGAACGTCAATGGCGCCCTCGGCTGGACATGCCGAGGACTCCCCTCACGCACCCGGTGAGCACTATCCTCAACTATGCGGAAGAGCAGGAACTTTTCCCCAAGGACCCTCGGTCGGCGAGGGAGATCTACGCCATCCACCAAGGCGGCACTTATTGTCGTTACCACAAAAGCACCTCCCACAATACAGACGATTGTGTCTCGTTAAAGAAGGCTATTGAACTCTTAATTCAACGGGGTGAGCTCCACCAATTCATCAAAAATGCCCCAAGGAAAAACACCAGGGAGAACACCGATAAAGAAGAAGGGTACGTCGCAACAAAGAAACATGAAATCGGGAGGCTCAGTGACGGAGAGGAGTTCGAGGAGCCCCAGCCGAAGAAGCGCCACCTCCGCTAATCATGTTCCTCACCTTCGGCGTTAGTCTCAGCCTTGGGCCCTCGACCTCGAGGCACATTACCATCCCCTCGGCCTAGAGCCCTCGGCCTTGAGCGGTGAATCTTAACAAAGCCGTTGTCAAACAACGCACCCCTTGTATTCCGCTTATTTCTATGAATTTAAGTAAACTACAACACAATCCAGACATCTTATCGGCCCCTTCGAGGCCAAATGCCCAGGTATGGCCGATGGTTTCTAGAGACGAGGGGCCTGCAAAAGGCCCACGTTTTTGGAGCGGGACGCTCGCCGCGTCGCCGGCGCGCAACGCACGGCGACAGGCCTGAAAGAATGGCTGAGGTGACGAAATCCCCAAACTTGGGGGTGAAACGGCAGTCTTCGGAAACCGACCAAGCCTAGCCCGCGCCGTAAATAGACGACGGGACCCCCCAAGGTCAAGGGACGGTTCAGCACCGGGGGACTAACAGACGAACCCCCGGACGGATCACTTGGACCCCCTTCCGGCCGAGGCGGGGAAGCAACCCCCTCGGCCGAAGCCTAGAAGAAGGAACACACATCAGGAGGACTAACATACGACCTCCTGGCACAATCAAGGGACGGCCCAGCGCCAGGGGACTAACAGACAAACCCCCGGACGGATCACTTGGACCTCCTTTCGGTCGAGGCGGGGAATCAACCCCTCGGCTGAAGCCTAGAAGAAGGAACACACATCAGGAGGACTAACATACGACCTCCTGGCACAATCAAGGGACGGCCCAGCGCCGGGGGACTAACAGATGAACCCCCGGACGAATCACTTGGACCTCCTTTCGGCCGAGGCAGGGAATCAACCCCTCGGTCGATGCCTGAAAAAAGGAACATACACCCAGAGGACTCCTGGAACTATCAAGGAAAGGCCCTCGGCCTCAATTCGATTCCACGTCACCAATGGCCCTCGGCCTTGGCATGATTCCACGTCACCAACTGCCCTCGGCCTCAGCGTGATCCCACATCACAACGGCCCTCGGCCTCAACATCAGACGGCCCTCGGTCTCAAAATCAACAATGGCCCTCGGCCTCAACATCAGACGGCCCTCGGCCTCAACATCACAACGGCCCTCGGCCTCAACATCAGAACGGCCCTCGGTCTCAACATTACTCTATGTCATAACGGTTTTTGCCTTACATGATTTCACATCACCAAAGGCCCTCGGCCTCAACGTGATTCTACATCAACAACGGCTCTCGGCTTCAGCGTGATTCCACATCACAACGGCCCTCGGCCTCAACATCAGAACGGCCCTCGGCCTCAACATCACAACGGCCCTCGGCCTCAGCGTGATTCCACATCACAGCAACCCTCGACCTTCATCCCTCCGACATTTTATTTGATGTCAGGGGCTATCATACAGGCTCATCGGCCTTCATCCCTCCGGCATCTTTATTTGATGTCGGGGACCATCACACAGGCCATCGGCCTTCAGCCCTCCGGCATCTTTATTTGATGCCGGGAGCCATCACACAGGCCGTTCGGCCTTCATCCCTTCGACATCTTTATTTGATGCCGAGGGCTATCATACAGGCCCATCGGCCTTCATCCCCCCGACATCTTTATTTGATGTCGGGGGAATCACACAGGTCCCTCGGCCTTCATCCCTCCGGCATCTTTATTTGATGCTGAGGGCTATCATACAGGCCCATCGGCCTTCATCCCCCCGACATCTTTATTTGATGTCGGGGGAATCACACAGGTCCCTCGGCCTTCATCCCTTCGGCATCTTTATTCGATGCCAGGGGCTATCATATAGGCCCATCGGCCTTCATCCCTCCGACATCTTTATTTGATGTCGAGGGCCATCACACATGCCATCGGCCTTCAGCCCTCCGGCATCTTTATTTGATGCCGGGAGCTATCATACAGGCCCCTCGGCCTTCATTTCTCCGATATCTTTATTTGATGTCAGGGGCCATCACGAAGACCCCTCGGTCTCCATCCCTCTGGCCTCTGTATTTGATGTCAGGGGCTCTCACACAAGCCCACCTGGCCTTGCACCCCTCCGTCACCTTTATTTGATAACGGGGGGAGGGGGTCCTTACAAGCTCCTTAGCTTTTTCATGCAGGGATCTAAGGCTGATCTTGGATATCTCCTCAGCAGACGGACACAACCGTCGCTCAACAATCAAGGCCGAAGGGTGCACTCCTTTTGCTTCATTCTGGGGGCATCCGGTGTACTCTTTTTCCCTCATTAGGATTTTTTTTTCCACATGGTTTTTTTTCCTAATGAGGTTTTTAACGAGGCATCTCCCCATTGTGGAACAAAAGGTGTCGCCCCTCGGCGGCTCCTGCTGAAGGCATGCATCACTCTACTCCTGTTTCCCTCGAGAAACTCTCGGCAAAAGGAGTGGGGGACTGGGGGACTCCCCTCGGCAAAACACGCAAATGTTAAAAATTTTCTATTTCTCAGCTACAGCAGGCTGAGGCAAGATCACAATGGCAATCTACTCCCCTCGACATGATGCTTTCGGCTTACAGAATGCCTCCGGCCACACAATGCCTTCGGCCACATGATGCCTCCGGCCACACAATGCCTTCGGCCACATGATGCCTTCGGCCACATGATGCCTCCGGCCACATGATGCCTTCGGCCACATGATGCCTTCAGCCACACAAAGCCTTCAGTCAACAAATGCCCTCGGCAAAGCACACAAACGCAGATCTCTCATTACTTTACAAACTACAACAAAGAAACACATACGAGCAACACACTTACACTCCCTTCAGGAAGCTCTCAGCCCTCGACATATGGGGGAAGTGAGAAAATGAGGCACCCAACAGGACAGGGAAGCCTTCGGGGAAATCACCACAGCTACTCCTTTTCCCTCAAGTACCTTTCGGCAAAAGGAGTGGGGGACTCCTGATGGAGTATATGGCCCAGGGACCCCCGGCCCACATACTTCCTCTACTACAATCAGGCCCAACAGGCCCAAACGGGCCAAGCCCAGCGAAATGGAGCTCTGAGCAGCCCACAATACGCAAAGGGGTGCCTTCGGCCCTATGGCCGAAGGCTACCAGTGACGGAATCGAGCTCAGAAACATCACAGGAGAACAAGGCTTGAAAACCAAGCCTTCGGCAACCGCAGCCCTCGGCAGGTAGGAGCCCTCGGTTAGAAGAGGCATCACAGGAGAACAAGGCTTGAAAACCAAGCCTTCGGCACCTGTAGCCCTCGGCAGGTAGGAGCCCTCAGTTAGAAGAGGCATCACAGGAGAACAAGGCTTGAAAACCAAGCCTTCGGCACATGCAGCCCTCGGCAGGTAGGAGCCCTCGGTTAGAAGAGCCTTCGGCCCCGCACCTTTCAGCCGAAGGCATCCACCTCGACAGAATATCCTCTTCACATGCGCCTGGATCACCGTACCAAGTACAAACGTCACATCCAACCACCGCATTTAATGCGGCCACATGCGAGTGCCAGTGCCACCCCGGTCGAGGTGACCCCTCGACCACCAGAAAACTGACACGTGTCCTTATCTAGCATTTATTACTACTATAAATAGCACCCCTTTCCCCCATTGTAAAACACACTCATTACATATCGAATATACACTCTCTCTCTTACTTATTTGCTCTGACTTCTCTCCAGTTATTCTCCGCAATAACCCCTCGGATAAGCTACCCCCGGGTACACTATCCATCAGTAACCACACAAAACTTTCCAAAAAGGAAAATGAGAACAATTTTTTGGGACGGCTCAAAAAGGAAAGTGGGAACTATATTTTGCGGGGCGGAGGGAGTATTCATTTGAGATTTTAAATTGATTTGACATCTCATTATTTTATCTCAAATTATATTTGAGATATTTATCCAACTAGATTCATTGAATGCATATTTATGAATTTTGTGCATTACAAGGAATATTAGTACATACATAATAGAACGATATCTACCTTATTCTACTTGATATCATAGCACTCTGAAGTATACGAGTGACATTTTCAAATTATTAAAACTTATAACAAATAGGTGTTTTAACCTATTGTGATGATAGTGGTTAAGATTAGTTATAGATGTAACGATCAACAAACTGCCCCATCAACATTGCTGATTACAAGAATTCCTGGCTTTCTCTCTCTGGCAACGGAGGGAAGTGCAGCGCCGCCTCCTAGGGTTTTCCTAGGGGCGTTTGTCCGGCTACGATTGTTCGGTCGTGGTGCGAGTTTGGATTTTGCATCTGTTAATTGCTGATATAGGCATAGCAGATCATTTTTGTGTTTTCTTTTTTGGGATTGAGGTCATCGACCTAATCGTTTTGGGATCTATCTCGGTTGATTCGAGCAAAGCATTTGTTGGTTGCTTTAATTGTGCCCGAGGTGTTTGGTCTCGACAATGAGCAGGTTCGGAGTTTCTGGCAGAGGATTAGAGCAACAGTTTTGCATGGATAGCTTCGTGGACAAATACAAGAAGATGGCAAGTGGGGCAGAGGAAGAAGAACTGAATCTAGATGAAGCTGATGTTGAGATTGTGGCAGATAAGCGGCGGGCGCGTCCCCCTCCTGAGCCGCCGACATGGAGTGCAAGTAAATCTAGGGTTTGGAAGAAGACTTATTTTATCTATTTTATTTATTTTTCCAGTGATTTTTATGCATGTTTTGTTAGTTGTTTTTTCTTTATTATTCCAGTTTGTAAGACGTTGATTTTAGATGTGGGTGACAACGGAATTGGGGTAACCGTTTTTGGCTCATTTGTGCCCATTAATGGATCGGCGAGTTATATTGCTTCTGATGAGGTGATTAACTATGAGTCTGGTTCGCGGGACGACGGTTGTCAGGATTTTATTTGTCGGATTACCCATCATCTAAATGTTAAGATTTCAATTTAAGCCAAATTCTTCCAAAAAAAAACCTATTGTGATGATTTAATATACAATAAATTAAGGAATGAGTATTTATTTATTTCCGTAATTCCTTATTTTCATTTATGAGTGATTAAAGTGAGGAACCGTCTAAATAGTTCGTATCTAAATGAATAGAATTGTACTTATGACCTCTAAATGCATCTAGAAGTCACCAACGTTTACTACGTTCTAAATTTGTTCATCACAATGGTTTTGACATAGAATAAAACCATGTCATGGGTTCAAGTCTTATGAGCGATCTCTTATCAAAGTAACAAGAGTTGCCTTATACACCTTTGTGGGGTTTCCCCGAACTCTCACATTATGAGGACATCGATGTCCACCGAGCTACCCTCAATGGATTTTCACATAGAAATTCACTATAAAAAATGAGATAGAAAATATTATATTGCGTCTAATAAATGCAAAATAAAATGTATATTTAAGTAGGTTAGAGAAAAAATGGTCATTGACTCATATAAACTTTGAAATAACTCATTTGAGTTGGTAATCACTCGAATAAAGGATACAATTGCATCCAACACAATGTAAATTGTTGGTCCTAGCATTGATAAATAGAAAAACAATATCCACCTTCTAAAGTACGAGAAGAAATATTCACTTTTCATATGCCTTATCGATGTAGTAGAAGGCATGTGAGTTATTTCTTAAAGTTTACTCCTTAGCAAAAATAGAATCAAGACGTGCCCATAATTTGTTTAGATCAAAGAAATTATTTTATTCAAGTAACTAATCAAAAACTTATGATAAATAAAAAAACACAACACAAAAAGTTGATAATAGTGTTGTTTGTGATGTGTTTCACTCTAGAAAAAACAATGACAAAAATGATTAGGTCTCTTTTTCCCTAAAATTTTGCATTTGCCTCCCTTGCCACAGTGGCTTTGAAAGCAAAGCTCATTGCATTTGTCATCATCGCTCGAACTTAGATTGCATGAGCCAATGTGATTGTCATAACAACAATTGACCTTGCATTCTACTTGAACCAGATCTCTTGATAGGATGGAGAAAACAAGGACCAACAGCAACACATTCAATTTGGTCATTTTTGTCTGCTTAATAGATGCAATGGTTCTCTAACTTAAAAATTAATTTTCCTTATCGAGACGTGTCCATATATGCTAAGGAAATAACAATAAAGATATCTCATTTTTTTTCTATACAATGTGATGTGAGAACTTATCTATCAAAATGCGGGTCATTTAAGTAATTATGATTTGGTAGAAAGTTACTCATGCTATCTATTTTTCTGTTACATAAAAATGTTGCATTTGCAAAACTTCCAACAAAACATATTTATTTAAGGGTCCACCACCCGACCAATCAAGTCTATATGACTTGTTACTGCTACACAGTTCTTATCAAAAATACTTGATGATTATTGCATATTTGTCGAGATCAATGAAAAACATCTTGCAATCAATGTGAAAATCAAAATCTCAATAAAGTTCACATTTAAAAGAATGTAGATGGTGAATATTATATTTATTATGCACACACTAGTTAATAAATCTTTTCATGGGATTATGCAATATTGAAAGCACTCTTACACATTTGTTTTTTAGACCGATAGTAGACAACCACTTTTATGTATACCAGTTGATGACTAGATCTTAGCCTGAGATGTTTTACTTATGCATATATGGTTGTTAACTTATCGTGCCTAATGCGTCTCCCATAGCGCACTATAATCGGTCTTATAAGACAAATGATTTTGTGTTGGATACAAATCCGCAACAATAGCCCGCTATTAGCCTTACCATACAGTGTGTACATTGCATTGCGGAATGTCACCTTGATAAGACAGTCGACTTTCCTGTCATTAGGGGAGAAAATAGATAATTCTCTAATTGAATGATAGGAATCATTATGGTACATCCCTACCATGTCTTAACAATAATTTCCAAACTTCAAAATATAATATTGAAGTAAAGGATTAGAATCGCCATAAGCAATGTAAGTGATCATATCACATACACTAGCTGTAAAATATATTTATAAGGCTTGAATTCAAATTAAAAGACACAATGCTAAAGGAAGAAGCATTGCAACCACAAGCAGTGGGGTTGTGGTTGAGGTCGTGACTCTCTAAAGAAATAGAGGGAAGCCACAAGTAGTAGAGGGTAGATAAGGCACAAACCAAGATACTCGTCATCATATGAATTCCTCTCACGAGATTATCTCTGACTAAATATGTCCATGAATCAACATTAATGGGGGACGCCCTGAAGTTCAAATGATTCCACAGAATTAAAATCTCAATGGTAATGAGAGTGTGTCTGAGTCGAAAGATATGTCTTACACGTATAGTGATGATATATTTGTACGGTTGCTCAAAGGAGTATAGAGCACGATGATATTGAACCATACTCTATTGCAATATGAAAGCAATGAGAATATTGGCCTAAATGCGTACAAGTAATCCAGGTATAAATTTAATATTTGACAAAGAGACATGTATCTGGTATTATAGTACTAATCAACCAAGTGTACAGCCTGTACGACATAAAATAATTCTTTGTTAGAAAGCGTATTGAGATAATGAGGTCCTAATTACTCTCACAACGCCCTGGATTCAAATATGAAAAGTTATACTCTCTCCGTCCCATTTAAAGGTTCCCATTTTCCTATTTTAGACGTCCCACCTAAAGATTCTCAATTTCTATTTTAGGAAACAGTTAACACTCTTAAATGATGATTTGATCATCAAATACTAAAAAATACATTTATAAAATCACAGTTATCATCAATAACATATTATATTATATACTCGTCAAAATTATTTTTCAAAATATATTCGAATTAGCATATTTAATTATTGTCTAAATAATCGTGTCATTTTGACACGAGAACCTTTAAATGGGACGGAGGTAGTACTTCTCTATTTTGAACATAAAAATGTTCAACTACATAATCTCTAAGTAGCCTCCAAAGTAATGGAGACACAACTAAAGATTGGGGTCACCAAATGTCTCAATAAAATCTCATTTAAGAGATGTATTTGAAGCATTTGTTATGTTTTTACTATCTCAAATCAAGTGATTCTAAATCACATAGTACAATTGTATTCGATCCAAATAGACATGAGGAACCCTCTAAGCAATCAATAGATTAAGAAGGGATAAAAAAAATGGCAGATTATGCCTTGCACATTTCTAAATGAAGCAAACTCCAAATTTTCAAGTATCATTATATGTCGAAGATAGAGACATAATGTGTACTCATAATGAAATATTGAAATATGAAAAATCTTTGGTACTTGAAAATCTTAATTGAGATAAAGGATCTTGGGAAACTCAGGTTTGTTTTGAAATTAAACACCGAGTTGGTTGAATACTAGTTCACCAGTTGCATATATATAAAAAAAGTTCTCAAACAAATTAACATAGATAAATGTAAACTGTTAGCACTCCCATGATTGGTTGAAATATGGATGTTAGAAAAGATATCCATTATCGAAAAGTTAATGGGAGAAGGAATTCCCTGTGAAAGTGTAATATGCGCATGATTGTATTTTGACAAACACATTCGACCAAATAATACATTCTCAAGAACATGTTAGCTGAAAATAGCTCAGGACCAACACATCGTTACTTTGATATCTATATGAAATCATTAGTGTAAACTTCATTCATCCCTTATAAATTGAATTAAATGATTGATTATAACAATATTCATAAAGGAATTGAAAATATCAAAAGTATTACTCTAACACAAAGTAACGTGAATTGAGTTTTGATGAATATCCCCTTATTAATACTCCGTATTTTTTAATGAGTATATATTTATCATGAAAGAAACCATGATGATATGTATAAAATACGTTGGTAAAAATATATATCAAGATTCTTATTGATATGTTTCTCTCAGGGTGAGTGCTTACATATTTATTTATCATCAAGTATATTTGTGCGTTGTACTCTTTTTCCCTTTTGACCAAGGTTTATTTTTTTCGCATTGGATTTTATTACTTGGTAAGGTTTTTAATGAGACAACATAATATGCACCATCCCACAGTTTAATTTTGCAAAAGTAAAACAATGTTGAAGTAAGAACAAAATTATTTAGCACATAGTTACTATATCGCAGTCAAAAGTAATTGACACAAAGTTATTAGTGAATCATACTTCCTTTTCCATTTGACCGATATTTATTTTTCCCATTGGGTTTTGTTCATTGGAAACGTTTTAGCAAGTTTAATTTTTACACTTATCACCTTAGACTTGGCACACAGGGAGAGAATTAAAAGAAATATATTCATCTATTTGTGTGTCATTGATATGGTGATTAACGTAAAAAGTATTGGAATGCATAGACTTTCCGAATATCCTTGATTAATGTAAATATTAAGGATACATATAGACATGAGGGGTCTCCCCACATACACTATGTTACACTTTTTTCCTTTAATCAAGTTTTATTTTCTCACTGGGTTTTGTTACTTGGTAAGGTTTTTAATGAGTTATCAATACATGTAAACTTTATTGATCAAAGCAAGGAACAAATAAAGATATACTTAATGGAAGAAGCATATCTTGATGTTATACTCTCTTTCTCCAGTCAAGTTTATTTTTTCCCATAGGGTTTTGGTTACTTGCCAGAGTTTTGACGAGGCAACAAAACATTTACCAAATTCTATCTACAACTCAGCACAAGAGGAAGTGTTGAAGTAAATTCTGTGTAGTGTGTTATCGTGTATATAGAATATGTATTATGATCATTCTATGTAAACTATGTATTATGGGCTCATTGCCCGCATGGGCCCATTGGTCCTTGTAAACCCTAATACCTCTCTATTTATAGGGCCTTTGATAATGAAACTACACACAATTCTCCCTACGAACAATTCTCCCTACAACGACGATTTGTTTTCCTACTACGGAGAATTTTAGTATGTTAATGATTAATCCCTGGTGAAAGTTCGATATAAATAACTAATTCAACTTTGCACTATTTACCACTTGAATTTTGATTATTCACAATATTTACCCTTTAATTTTAGCCAACTTTTTTCATAATTAATTTCATATATTGTTAAATTAATCAAATGAAAGCTTTCCAAAATATACTCCCTGTTTCATTTTAAGGTTCTCACTTTTCTTTTTAGACGTCTCACTTAAATGTTATCATTTTCTTGATATTTCTTGGTATTTGAACGGGACAGAAGTAGTACTCAATGTTTTTATAAGTCAAGATAATCCATCATCATGATTATAACCATATTTGTTTCTTGGTATTTCTTCTTTGTTACATATCGAAGAAATGTCATTGAGACTAATTGAGTTGGATAAATTATGTAAAAAAAAAAGAAAAATTGAAAATAATAATCCCAACTATTGTCGGTCCGCTTATAATAATCTCAACTATATATGTTGATTATTTTTGTATAATCCCAACTATATGGACCGTTATATGGACCGTCCGCCTATAATGGTCCATGACCGCATATTACATGCTCTAACCAGTGAATTTTTAATAGAAATTAAGCGTAAAAATTAAAATTTGGGATTATTTATAGGGATTACCTGCTATATCTTTTTAGAAACTATAGGAATTTATTTATAGTCGGTCACGTCAGACCATTATTGGCGGAAGGTCCCTAAAGTTGGGATTTTTCAGAAATAATCGATAGTTAGGATTATTATGAGCGGACCGCCAATAGTTGAGATTATTACAATCAATTTTTCCTAAAAAAATTATATTTGTGACGAAAAAGTTCTTAAAATCTTAATAACACACATTTTAAACAACATTCTTTAACGTATTTCATGAGTATTAGAGCATCTCCAATGCTACAATGTGCACGGTGCATATGTGGCATGAGAGATAGCCACATAAATATTAGTAAATAAATTCTTTATCTCCTTATTTGAATGGTTTTATACAATTTTGGTAAGTTTTTCTCTCCACAATGTCAAGGAGACCGTCTAGATATTGACATTGCAGTTGACATTGCAGGAGAAAGCTTACCAAAATTATATATAATCATTCAAATAAGAAGAGAGATAATTTATTTGTTAATATTTATGTGGTTATCTTTCATGCCACATGTGCACCGTACACACTATAGCATTTGAGATGCTCTTACTCGTAAATCTCCTCTCATAACTTCTCTCATTAATATTTGTTCTACTACTATCTAGGTTGACAAAATACCAATAAACAACTATGACTTATAAGTTATAACTATGATGAATTGTTTTTACATTTAAAAGTAGATTTGGTTGACAATTTTCATTCAATTTAAGACTTCAATTCCAAGAAACTTAATTTAACCAATATTAAAACGATGGGGCAACAACCCATGAGCATGAGCAAAGCTCAGTGAATAATGATTTATTTTTGAAAATACAAAATTATGTTAGTAATTATGACATAACTCGAAGGGTAATAGTAATTTTTCATTTCTTCTTTTAATTTTCTTTCGAATAGAGTCGACAAAAGCTATAAAAAAATTGTCGGTCTCATAAGATTGTTTGTTAAGAAATAAGAATAAGGGCCATTTTTTCGGATTATTGTGCAAAGAAAAATAGACTAATAAATTAAATCCTTTGATTATTGTGTTTTACTTAAACACGTCGCTTCGTGTCGGATTTCGGCCCTCTAGAAAAACTAAAGCATCCCTTTGGCTAGACACGTCTCTTCTCTTAATAAGGAAAAAATATAGGCAGCCCGCCGAATACCAATTAATTATTAAGACTTTATACGTACTAGATTTGATTATAATTTCCTCACATTAATCACTGGATTAATATTCTTGCCTTTCAATATAATTAAATAATTAGTAATGGCAATACCATAATACTTCGTAGTATGTAAGGATTTGATGAATACTCAGATTCACATCCCATATATAGTACCTCATAAAATCTCCCCATTAAAAGAAACACTAATTAAAACAGAACCTTGTTTCTAAATTTACACGTGGAAACTAATCATAATGATTTATTTATAGATAATTAATTCAGCATCTCACATTATTAATTAAATTATCTAATAAAGCCTCCTCCCCTCCATCAATATTAACCCCCACACGCTCACAAAAGATTAGAGAGCGAAGGAGACTGGAGATAATGGATGGTCATGATAACAATGATTGGGATCTTTTCGCAGTGGTAAGAAGTTGCAGAAACAACAATGGCAATTCTAGTAGTAGTAGCAATGGTAATGCTCAAGATGGCAATGCTCATCACTACTTCATCAATGGTGGCCTTCCTGAACGACTCTCCAATGCCGAAACCCGTCATGGCGAATTCCCCAATTTACTTCCCGAAAGGCGTTATTTCGGCTTAGACGAAGTTCTTGACCGCTTCATTAACAGAAAGCAGCAAGACGAAGAAATGAATCCTCGAAGTGATGACAAAGATGAAAGCCCTCAAAATACTATCGTGTCCCCGAACCTGACCCCAAAAGTTCAGCATGGAAAAAGCGGGTCTGCAAAGGAGGTCACGGTGGTTGAGGTGGCGGTGGAGAAAGTGGAGGAATGGGACGGATGGTTGTGGCGCAAGTACGGGAAGAAGAAGGTGTGCGACTCGCCGCATACGAAGAGCTATTACAGATGTAGCTTTGAGGGGCACAAGTGCCCCGCAAAGAAACACATTCAGCAAAGTCAAAGGGACGAAAGTAAGTTTATCGTGACATATAGAGGTCAGCATAACCACTTTTCTCCGGTTCCTAGCAACACGACCAAACGTCGAAAAAGGAACAGCGCTCCTCCTGCCTCTCCCTGAGAAACTAAAATGTGTAATATTACCATATGTTTGTCTTAGAAAATGTTTCATATCTAAGTTTATTTTCTTGAAATAGAAGAAATCTTTCCTTTATATTTCCATGAATGGATTAATTCTTAAGATCACTCCTTTTCTATCAGTTCCACACTTGTGCCTTTCTTTTTCAGGGAGTTCGGGAGATAGTAGACCGTTGAAAATGTGAAAAAATGTATGAGAAAAAAGGATGAAAAGGAAAACATTAGGATAGAACAAAATAGTAGAAAAAAAGATGAACAAGAAAGAGGAGATGAAAAAGAAATTTAAAACTTGCCAAAAATGGAACAGGACAGGTATTAAAAAACATTCCTAAAATGAATAAGGAGCAAATAATTCACCACAGGTAAGACTGGAAAATAGAAAACTGTAAAAGAAGTTACTTGGGCCATAATGCCCACGGCCAAAATACACTAAAAGATTGAAACCAACTCATTAGCTAGCTTAATCCATTTTTTTAAACACATATGTCTGTCTCTAATAGAGAGGCTCTTAACAGTTTCCAGTTCCTCATAATCCATAACACAAACATACTAAGTATAAATTAAAGATGAAATATCAAGAAGGATTATAGCTATTCACAAGGATAATAGATTAATTAAAAAGAAAAAAAAAAAGTATTCACAAAGGTATATCTCACAATTTTTTGGTTGCACTGTACAGAGAGTAAAGAAGATGATGATATGATGTAGAATCATAGACTTACATATTTACATTGTGAAACGAAGGAAATCAGGAATGTGGGGGGATTGGTTTGGCTACCAATCCTCCTTGGCAATTTTTGACTTCTCAAGAATGAACTTCCCTTCCTTGTACTTTTGCGTTGCTTCGAATGCTCGTTCATACTTCCAACCTAACAACTCATTACATTCGCCACAAAAAACATCGGCAACGGTGTGAACACCAGTCATAAGATGTCTGTCTTCTTTGGTCCCCACAACTATATTCATCACATGAGAGAATAGAAAGGCTCTTCCATTCCTTCCCTGAAAATTTTCAAGAAATTAAACTATACCCATTACCCAAATCGCAACTTCTGACTTAGCAACAACAAAGCCTCTCAAGTTTCGGTGCCTATGAAATATTGCGTACTTCCTTTGTTCTATTTTAGTTGCTAAACTTTCACATTCATATCTCTCAACACATAACTTTGACAAACATAAACTTTAATAAACATAACTACCTATTATTTTAAAGGGATAAAATCCCATTTTATAGAAATCACCCACAGGCCACAGACATACATCTAACCTCTATCAGCAGGGCACTGGTACTCTTGGCGGGGGAGGGGGTGGAACTTACCTGGACTAGCAATGGACCCACCCAAGTTTTTCATGTGTAAAACTTTGCTGTACAAAGTAATGTGAATGAAAATGCTTTATGGGTGTTCTTGTGCCCTATAGGCAGATTTTGTCCCCGGTTAAGAAAGCCAAATTAATTTACAGAATTTGGAGTAAAATCTTTATTCACCATTTATGCAGCTTGCCCCCGCCTTTAGGGTATTATCCCAGCTTCACTTAGAGCTAATTCTTATTGAGTTACCAAATTAAGTAGTCCAATTTTTCACAGGGCGAATTTAAAAAAAAATAACCATAAAAATTGATGAAACCTAATTTGACTCTGTTTCAATGATTTTAATATTTTATCATGGGCATAGCCCATAGGGCTCTCTGTGGTATGATAAACCTAATACACTTATACACAGAGATTATAATCTTTATTCTTCAGTCAGTCAAAAACCAAAGGAGGTCTGAAACTTCAACAACAAACTTGATGTTCCTATATAATCAAATCATGAAAAGTTCAACAAATAGAAAGCAGAAAGAATGACATAAATCAATTCACTCGCCTGAAAAGCCTTGGATACTATGTCATCATGAGCAGATACATGATTTCTGCATTTATAGCAACAGTATAAACGCGGCCCAACGAAATCATCCATGGTAAGAGAACTCCAGGAAGACATAATTGGCACCTCACAGTCCTCTCTCACTCTACTCACGGTGAAATCATTAAAATTTCAGTATAAACTACAAGAAATACTCATAAAGATGGAAACTTTAGACAATATTACTACTGTAAAACAATATTAATCAATAATCATCAAGATCATAGATCAAAAGCACAGATTAATACAAGTTTAAGCTCAAGGGAGAAAGAGAAAGAACCTGGAATCCTTTAAGTTGAAATATCAAGAAACGGTTATGGATGGATGACCCATAACACACTGCAATGAAGGATATATATGAGAGAAGCTTGCGTGTAGATGATTGTGGATTGAAAAGGACTTGTTCTTTTTCTTTTAAGAAAAACTATAGTGAAAGCGAAATGGGAAACGATAAAAGTCATAAAACCAGGTAGTAATTGGTAATAGTGAAAGTGAAAATGGTTTTGTGTAGAGTGTAGACGTGAATCGTGATTGGGGGGATATAAAATACAGTACTTGATTACTTTTTGTTTAAATCCAGCCGCTACATTATTATCCCAAGCTGAGGGCATAGACGAAAATTTCTTGGTGTTGATTTTTTTTGGACATATTTCTCAATATTGATTGATTTAGGGTTTGAATTATCCACTTCAATATGAGAAAAAACATAGGGATGTAGGAAATTCTATTTCTATACAATAAGAATATTTTAGTTGGGCTAAAATTTTCTAGTCCAGTCTAATAAATATATGGTCTTTACACACTCAAATTTTACAAATGTCCGAGCCTAGTTTGATTTGGTCTGATCTAATTTGATCTTATCTGATTAGGACGGAAACCGACCAAGTAAATACATCCTAAGAGTACAATCAAGAGATTTTTTAATATGAAAACTATTTGTAACCTAAACAAAAGTAAAGTATAGTTGTAATGAAATCATACTACCCATGCTATCCGGTAGGGATGGACCCAACCGGTTCGGCCCGGCCCGCAACTGTGCGGGCTCGGCTCGGCCCGGCCCGGATGACGGTTGGGCGGTTCGGGCTTTGAACCGGCCCATTTGGGTAGGGCGGTTTGGGCACGGATCATTAAAAATGCGAACCGGCCCGGGCCTAACGGCTATTTTTTAAAAAAAAAATCTTTTCCAGGCAAACAAGGCCTTAAGACCGTTGCATTCAAACCCAAACGGCTCTATAGCCGTTGGGAGGCTCAATGGGGGGCCCGGGGTGGGTTGGGGTGGGGTGGGGGTGGGGGTGGGGGTACAAAAAATCTATAAATACTCCATTTTTTCTATACAATTTACTATACAACTTCTCCAAATATTTCTACTCTCTAATCTCTATTCTCTACTAATCTTCTCCATCTTCATCTTCTCAAATTTATAACTACATATATTATATTTATAAAATTTCTTATCTACTTATTATCTACTTATATTAATATCCAATTATTATATTATTGTTATTTACTTATATTTACATATACTTAATATATACTTATATATATTAAAGTATTATATATAAGTGTATTACTCATCTTATAGTAATATACTTATATTATATATATACTATAAACATAATATTATATATTACTAGTTAATCTACTTATTATGTACTTATAAATATATATATATTAAGTATATCTACTTATACACTTATTATCTACTTATCGAATTGCTTATACACTCTCACACTCCCATTAATTTAGTTTACACACTCATACATTCTTTATTAATATAAAACTAGTTAATTGTTTCACTTATCATTTTAGTATTAGTTCATTGCTATAAAAGTAGTTAATTGTTAGTTTTATTGGAAATAGTTACATTAAAAATTGTTAGACAATAATTCGAAATTAATTGTTTAATTGTTAAACTAGTTAATTGTTACATTTCTTATTCTCCTATAAAACTAGTTAATTGTTACATTTCTTAATCTCCTATAAAACTAGTTAATTGTTACATTTCTTAATCTCCTATAAAACTAGTTAATTGTTAATTATATTAAAGTTGTTCGCATTTTATAATAAAAGTAGTTAAACTTGTTAAATTTTTATTTATTTTTTATTTGTTAACAAATAGTTTGAATTTGATTACTTACTAGTTAATTAGTTGCATTGTTACATTTTCTGATTTTTAATTGTAGTTTAAAATTGTAGTTGCATAGTTCGAATTTAATTGTTACATTCTAGTTAATTTTATTACATTGTAGTTGCATAGTTCGAATTTAATTGTATTTCGAATTAACTAGTTTAATTGTACTTCGAATTTAATATTTGTTATATTTTTAAGATGGAATGTGGTAGATCTTCTGCAGATATGGGTAACCTCCGCCGCAACCGAACAAAGGAGATTGCGAGGAATCATCCAAGCTCACGCAAAGGTAAGGGACGGGCTGGGTCTTCATCTCAAACCCGAGATGATTTTGATGCGGATTACAACCAAAGATATGGGGATGCAATGTCTGATGAGAAAGTAGAACAACTATTGCAATAAAATCAAGGGCGCTTTTTCCATCAACAATACATCCTGCAAACCATTGATGAAGAAGAGCTCGAGGATGATGATGCGAAGGAGGGGGATCCGCAAACGGTCGAGGACGAGGTTCATGGCACACCGGACGATGAGGAAAATCAAGCGGAAGTGGCTACTTCTTACCAAGGCAGTGAGAAAGCTGAATCTGTCTTTAAGGCCAATTTTACAAAAGTCAAAGACCCCGAAACCGAGATATCGTACGCCACTTGCAAGCATTGCCCAAAAGTGTATAACTTGGGAATTTCTGGAGGGTACGGGAGCGCCACAAGGCATCTTAAGGCTAAGCACCCGGCGGCGTATGCGAAATCGGACAAAGGCAAGGGAAAGCAAACATAAATTTCAAGGTTTGGAAATGGCCAACCCTTCGCTAATTTCTCCTATGATGATAAAAAACATTTGACCAGTATGTCTCATTTAATTGTTGAAGAAAATTTGTCTTTTATTTTTTCCGAAAGTCTTGCTTTAAAAGAATATGCTCAAGGTATTTTAAATCCTCAATTTCGAAACTATAGTCGCAAAACAATTAAAAAAGAAGTTATAAGGCAATATGTTTTGGAAAAGCAAAAATTACAAACGTTTTTCGTAAACTTTGATGGACGTGTTAGTATATGTGGTGATATATGGGAGGATACTCATCATCATTTATATTATTTGGGTGCACATTATATTGATAATGATCGGTGTATGCATAAACGTGTTCTTGCTTTTCGTGAATTTAATGATCGACACACTGGTGATAATATTTATATTCTCATTGAGCGTATATTAATTGAGTATAGTTTGATTGATTAGGTGTTTGTTATTTGTTTTGATAATGCTAGTAATAATACTGTTGCTATTCCTAGATTGCGTGAATTGTGTGGTTCATCTTCTTTGATGCCTTGATGGGTAGGTTTTTTCATCAGCGTTGTGCATGTCATATTTTAAATTTATGTGTAAAAGACGGGCTAGCGGCGTTGGGAGATGCTATGGAGGTGGTGAAGGGGGGATTAAACTTATTTGGGCTAGTAATCAACTTAAGATGCAATGGAGAAATTATTTGAGAAAAGACGTTTCAAATATTGTGCTTTTCCTAAAGATTGGTTTATTCGTTGGAAAAGTACTTATAACTTAATTAAGGTGCTTATTAGATTTAAAAACCATTTTCCTTCTTTTTTTAAAAGAATGTGCTAACTACATTATAAACCCGGCTGACTTCGACACTTGTGAAAAAAATGTGAATCTTTTGGTGTTTTTTAATAATGCAACTCAAACTTTTAGTCATGTTTATAAACCTACCGTAAACCAATTTTATGTTAAAGCTGTTAATCTCGCCGGTGCTTTTTGTGAATTTTCCGATGTCAATTACGTTAGTTATTTTTGTTCTTACATGAAAGAGAAGTTTTTAAAATATTATTCACATATTCCGCATATATATGGTATTGCATTTATTTTTTATCCTCGTTTTAGACTTGATTATTTGGGGAAATGTTTAGATTACTATTATGCTTCTTTTTTTGGTCCATTGCCTATGTACGATGACAAGGCCATAGACCCTAAACAAGAATTCCAAGAGGTTAATAATTTACTTTATCAATTATTTAATGAGTTTCATGCACAATATGGTAGCGCACCCCCTCCGCCCCCCGTCACGAACATCTTCTTCATCTAAAGGAAAATCAATTTTGAAATCTGCATTTGGCAATCTTATGAAAAAAAGTAAATCAACTCTGGTTAATGAACAAAGCTCATTTAACGAGCTTTCTTTGTATCTAACATTTCATGTTGAGTACGAAGAAGGAAATGACTTTGACGTACTTCAGTGGTGGAAGGAAAAAGAAAGAACGTTCCCGATCTTATCAAAGATGGCTAAGCAAGTGCTAGCAATGTCGGTATCCACAGTTGTTGTGGAACAAGAGTTTAGTGCGGCTGACAACGTGCTAACGGACTATAGAACGAGATTGAGCGCAAACTCTCTTGAGACGCTTGTTTGCTTCTACGATTGGTTGAAGCCCAACGTAGAACTCAAGAACTGAGCATCGAACCTACCCGCCACTTTATGGAGGAAACAATCGAAGATGGCGGAGATTCCGATTGATTCTTATTTATTAAAAATTGTATTTCATGTTTTATTTTTTTCTCAATTTTCAATTGTACTACATATTTCAAATAAATATATTTTAACTTTTTTATGTCCAACTAATGTTAACTTAATATTTAATAAAAAAAATAATTAGCTCGGGCCCGGCCCGAACTGGCCCGCTACCCGGCCGGGTAGTCCGACCCAAACCGGACCCGGTATCAACCCGGACCGGTTCCGGGCCCATGTTTTTTAAAAAAAGTCCGCTTGGGCCCAGCCAGGAGCCCGGCTCGGCCCGGGCTCGGTCCATCCCTACTATCCAGTATTAAAAACGTGACAATATAAGGGGAACATAATAGTATTGCTTTGTGAACCTTTACAAATACATAGATGACTTTTTCTAAAGTATATTAGCTTTGTCCCGGTGAACTTTGTCAAGTTCGAAGTAGATGAAAACTAAAGAAAGTTTAAACTATGTTGTTGAGATTTGTGCAGAAAAAAGAGAATTGAACATAAGCACAAAATAATGGCAAATTATACCGTATGACCGGTATACCGTATGACCGGTATACCGTATTTCTTTTTTTTTCCTTTTGTTTATAAAAAATGCTAATAACTTTTTTATTTTTGATCCAATTTTTATAAAATGTATATCAACATTTTTTATTTTTCATGATCTTTCAAATGAGACCAATATTGCTTATGTAATTTTAAGAAATTATCGAACTATTATATTAATGAGTATTGGATTATAAGGAAAATCGAACTAAATTTAATACAGAAAAATAATTGTGTAAATCACAATTTATCTTAAAATTGTGTATATAAAAAAATTATTTTATTATGTATTTATACATGTGAGTTACATATTTTTATATGTAAAGTTACATATTTGTACACGTAAAGTTACATATTTATACACACGAGTTGCATTTGGCCTACCTGAACGCGAGTTACATATTTTTACACGTAAAGTTACATATTTATACACGTGAGTTACATATTTATACACACGAGTTGTATTTGACCTGTCTGAACACGAGTTACATATTTTTACACGTAAAGTTACATATTTTTACACGTAGAGTTACATATTTATACACACGAGTTGCATTTGGCCTGACTGGACGTGAGTTGCATATTTCTACACATAAAATTACATATTTTACATATGTTAATATAATAGTTCGATAATATGTTAAAATTACATAGGCAATATTGGTCTCATTTGAAAGATCATGAAAAATAAAAAATGTTGATACAAATTTTATAAAAATCGGATCAAAAATAAAAAAGTTATTACCATTTTTTTTAAAAAAAAAGAGAAAATAATACCCTATGAATGCATGGTGCTCACCATGCACCAGTTGCACGATATACGCAACCGGTGCATATTAGTAGAAAAGTTTTGGAGTAGGTGTTTTATTACTTCATTTCTCAAAATATGAGTAAATGATCTATATATGACTTTTTCTTAAAATATAAGCCATTGTAGTGGAATCAGTGTCGCAACATTCCAACCTCAGTTCATAGAATGAGACATGCTTGATGTACACAAATTTAGTACACCTTATGTGTACACAATACACCTCCCCTTATTGTCTATCTACAAGACAATTTGTGAACGAATTGTTTGCGTAGACAAACCATTAAGAGGGCGTACACAATGTGTACGATAAATGTGTACCAATAGCTTTTGTGTCCTAGAAATCGCTCTTGAATGGACCAATTATTCCTAGAACACAAATTCTGATTCTGGTTTTATCAAGAAAAAGATCTATTTCTCAAGGCTCCATATACTCTCTCCTTGAAGAATATGTACGGACTACGAGTACAACACAAGATCCTATTGCTACTTCTAAGATAACTGCTGCTGTTAATTTCAGCATTTTCTTGAGATGATAAAGAGCCACACCATATATTTCCAGCTGTGCTGATAGTAATAATAAAGAATGATAGCTAGCATGTTCACTAGACACTTATTAATACATCATTATCTATATATGGTGTAACTTGTAACCAGAAGGAAGTCACAACTTACTCTGTTTATAACAAGTGTCTCCATTAGAAACTTGTGTGACTCAAGATCAAGGAATTTAGGAATGCAAAGAATTACAAAACCAAACAGCTAAGTGGGAATCATTCATTCAGATCATCTAAGGTACAGATTTGGCCTATACTGTTTTTTCCTTGACATTTTGTATCAAGGAGCATTGAGTGGATCAGACTCGGTATCCAACATCGGTGTCCAGTTTTCTGCCTCTGCAATTTTGTACCATCAAACATTTAGAATTTGCGATGCAATTTATTAAAAGAAAAACCTCACGCAAAACAAGGGTCTATTTGGAACCAGAAAATGCAAAAGAACAAACTGAGGAGGGTGCAAGGTGAATTTTTACGGAAAGAAAAACTAAGGTCAAATTAGAGCATGTTATAACTCTTTTTTTTGGTATCTTCTAAAACTCATTTTACTTATTTACAACGATTACATGAAGAATATGAAATCCCAACATATGTAAAAGAAATAAAACATTGAACACATTTCATTTTCCTTGCATTTTCAGAAGTAAAGCCAAACACATGAAAATAACTTGGCTCTTTTTCCTTTGCCTAGCAGTTTCTGGAATTCAAACAAACCCTCATGATATTCTTTTTATTTATCAAGTCCATTGTATGTTTAAAGTAAAAATAATTGACAAAATGTGACTTGCATGAAAAAAAACCTCAAAAGAATTTCAAATGGTGATCATATTTTATTTTCCTTTGCATCTCTCATGGTAAAACCTAACATAAAATACTAGTTTTCCTTGGCATATTTTTCCTTTTCATTTGCATTTTGTGGGATCCAAACATACCCTGAATTCTTTACAAAGGTTGACAATTGGGGATATGAATCAACTAAAATGCTACTGTACAACCCACTTACTTGGCTTTTCTGTAATAGCTCTTAGACGCCTCTGCAAGATGGCGGCCACAAACAGAAAGATTGAGCACATGCCAAACATAACACTGATGGGGAATGCAGCAACCTGAACATAAACACATGTTTAAACATAACTCATTTTTGTCTTCAAATGGCATGCCAAAATAAAGCCAACAAACTAATAAAAGCAAGAGATATCATAACAACAACATACATTGTACAGCACTATGCAAACAAAGAGGTTTAGAGGAATCCTGAAAAAGTTCATTATGGTACTTCTCGACTCCTCTGGAATGTATTGGGATCTCATCTTCATTATGGATGGCCAGAAGATACCCACGCAAGCCTCAAACGTACAAAATCCAAAAACAAGGATATACCCTGTAAATGATATCCCTCCCTCTTTCACACTTGAAGGAGTTATCAAAAACTGTTTCATAGAACTACATAGTTAGAAGATGTGAGTAGAACACTTATTACCAATTTGGTCTCAAGTTAGACACTACTACTCAATTTTGTCCTCATCTTTTCATCGAACTTGATTTGGGTCCTTGAGTATGAAATTTGGACCCAATTGAATCCCCATTCATACTTGGTTCTAAATAAGAATGGTATTTTGTCCATTCACTAAATTTAGACCCAATTCAGAACTCAATTTGGATCCAATTTAGTCCAAACTCCAGAACATACTTAACTACCATTTTACTTGGGGTAAAATGTGTTCAACTCATTGAAATTTCATAGTCAAGGACCAAATGAGTACAAAAATGTTGAAGTAATAGTATTTAGTTGAGGGACTAAACTGGTGTTTTAGCTTTAAATAAGAGGAACCAGCTTGAAAACTAGACAGTTTCTAGAAACATACATTTGTCACAATTGGTAACATGAGAGCCGCGGAAGAAATAACAAACACCACTTGCATGTAACTCTCAACCTTAATTGAGTTACGGGTCAAGAGGCGAGATGCGACTGAGCTTCCCAACATTGATGCCAGCATAAAAGTTGCAAAGATAAATCCATGAGGAATGTCTTCGTCGTTTGGACTAAGAGCAGGAGTCCAGAGAAACACAAAGGTGTACATTGAGCCCTCAAACAGGGATTGTATAGCGCCCAGCAATGCAATCTTCTCATCTATTGGACATTAAAGATAGAGTTAGTACTCCATTTAATCCCCTGACTACATACACTATCGCACAATTTGGTCCTAAACTTTTTCTGGACTCAGTTTTATCAATGTCTCCTTGACAATGCAATTAAGACTCAATTTCATCCTGATGCATATTTCACTCTAATTATGAAGAGTATTTCATCTGTTAAAAACTAATAGGGTACGAATTACATGGTTGAGAACCAAGCTGAATCCAATATTGGGTCAAAATTAATTTATCGAGGACCAAGTTGGGTCCTCAAAAATTCGATGACAAGGTTGAGAACGTGTCAAGATGTCAAGTAACTAAACCGGGTATTAATTCTTAGTATAGAGCAATGTCTAATGTTACGAACCAAATCATAAAGATATAAAATGGAAAAAAGGATGGAAAAATATGTCTGTGAGTTAAACATCCCTAGCCAGCCTACCTGAAGCAATTGCAATAGAAGCATTCTTGAACTGAGTCATTAAATCTTTGTTATCTGATGGATCTCCGTAGTTCTCACTCCATGATGATAATATGATGGCCATCCCAAGGGAAAGAAAACATGAAGCGGCATCAAAGGGTGACACTGGTCCAAGATTTAACGTATCAACAAGAAAATTCCCAAATAATCCTGACAGGATGGCAATAAGACCATTTCCAAGAAATATTGCCTTAGAGAATGTGATTGAAAGCCACTGCTGATCGAATCCTCTCTGTACACAGTAAAAACAAAAACATGTTAGTCAAGAACTGGGAAATTAGCTCTCAAGGTCAATACCTCTTACCAAATTCTGGTTAAAGTTCCAAATCAACAGAAAATACATAGTTACATAAGTTGTTAGTATATGATCGGTCGATGATCATCTGCATGTTCATAAGTTACTCTGGAAGAAGATTACTTCAGAGGGGAAGCAGATGTCAAGAAGACATATTTAAGCAAATAAAATAAATAATAAGGTAGCATGAGATGACATTCCGTCAGTAAAAAAGCCCTCTTTGGAAACTTAATTTTGTCAAAAAAGAGGGTTATATTTAAACAGAAAAAAGACCAACATTCAATATATTAAATGTTTTGTTTTCATAAAAAGAGTCTCAAACAAGTACATAATGTTAAACTTAGTGAAATCAACAAATAAATTTGAAAGGTATAGCTAGATTTGATGATTCTGAATATTTGTGCTTTACTAAACTTAGAAAGATGTACCCTGGTGAAACATGAACTTTTTTATATAGACGAAGGTAGTACTAGATAGCAAATTTAAAACCTAAGCGTTTAAATGAGTAAACTTCTGTTTTAAAAAAACACTTTCTTCTTATTATAACAGCAAGTAAGAGTTCAATGGTATAGAGTAACTTAAATGCATTTGAGGTTTACTTCATAGTAGTTATGCTATTGTAACAACTAAAGAGATATTAGATGCAAGCTACACAAGAAAGTTCATACAACTGAGTCGAGATCACTTCATGAGTTCAGCAGTTCATGATGCCAATAATGTATGAACATATAACTTCATAGCGACTTATCTTCATTTCATCAGATGTAATATCCAAGGATCCTCACCTTAAAATGCTCCGCTACTAGCCAAGACTCAAATGATGAGAAGAGGAGAGATGTGGCAATACCACCTAAGATACGCCCCAACATCAGGACTTTGTAATGAGGGGAATGCTTTGTGATGCAGCTGAGTATGTAAGTAATGCAATAAGTGACACAAGCTCTCTTTCGACCCCTGACAAGAATGACACAAGCATTTAGTGTAAATCCATCACAAATAAGAGCGAGTACTTATCTATGTGTGCATATGTATACGCTGTAAATTCACTCTCACTGTTTGTCTGCTAGAGATCCAACTATTGTGCCAAACAACATGGAAGACCCAAAACCAGCAATAAAGAGCTGCCCAATTTCTCCCTTTTCATATCCATATGTAGTGTAGAGGTAGTATACATATGGACCCTGTAACCAATCACCAGCTGTTTCCAAAAAAAATGAGCAAGCGCATCAGACATGGGAAGGTTGCATTTCATTTATATCATAAAAAGCTGTTCATTTGAGATAATCAAAAGTGAGCACAAGATCCAATAGAATACAGTTGAAGAGCATGTGATAGCACAACCAATAGAGAAAGTTTTAATTCTTATCCTCTCCCGTTTCCTAAAGGAGAGTTACTAAAGCAAACTGATCGAAATTCGCTCATTAAAAATTTTACTTTCTCCGCGCCCTAATCATCTAACGATTTCGTCTCTCACATCATACATCCAAAAACTTCTGAATGAGCTTGCAAGTTTGACTTCACCAGAAACGGTAAATTAGACCCAACACCAGCCCCAAATTCCATCACTACTACAGATCGGATCATGCATGAATGCATAAATACAAGTGAATCCTACAAATTTCACACAAAGCGCGCGATTCTGGGAACGTGCAGTGATGGGGGGAGCCAGATCTAAGGGCAAAATAATGTAAAGCGGACGAAACATACCCATCATCAGAGAGTAAACAACGAGGTAATTGTTTTTGAAAGCATTGAAGGTCTGAGACGTTGTGATGCGATCTTTGCTGGTCTTACTCAGCTCCAGAGCTGCCACCACCGCGGCCAAGCCGCCAAACACCACGTAGTAGAACAGCTCCATTTTCGTCCACACTCAAATTCTCCGCAAGCTCTCAGATAAATGCAGTCACTGCAGCATCAGGCTTGCATTGATTGATCGCGTTCCGATCTCATGGTAGACAAATCTGGAGGATACATATATATACTCCGTAAAATGGGTGTTACGGGTAGAACGAGCCGCGGTTTGATGCTGCGTTCAAACCAGTGAGTGGCTTCTGATTGGATCCAATCTTGGCCTTTGCTTTCGCAGCATGGACACGTGGCGGACACGAGTTGCTTGATGCCCGTCGGTGGAAGTGTGTTGCATTACTGCTACTATTGTAGCGCTCGGAGGGTAAATGGATACTACCGGTATAGCAAATGTCCCCGTATCAAATATTCTCAAATACTTTAAAGTTGAGTTTGGGATTAATAAAGTAAAAAAAGTGTGGTCGAAATTTGTACAGAAGAGAGAGAATTAATATTAGCGACTGATGGATAGTCTACCCGGGGTATGTATCCGAAGGGTTACTGCGGAGAGAAACTAGAGAGAAGTCAGAGCAAAAGTAAGAGAGAGAGAGTATATTGCTGAGAATGTAGTGGGCGTGTTTAGCTTGGATTACAAATGGGGAAAAAGGGCGCTATTTATAGTAGTAATAAATGTCAGATAGGGACACATGTCATCATTCTGGTGGTCGAGGGTCACCTCAACGGGGTGGCACTGGCACTCGCATGTGGCCGCATTAAATGTGGTGGTTGGATGTGACGTGTGTACTTGGTACGTTGATCCAGCGCATGTGGGTGGGAGATTCTGTCGAGGAGAAGCCTTCGACCGTAGATGATTGACCGAAGGATCTTCCTTCCGGGGGCACCCTAGGTGCCGAGGGCTGCTGTTTTTACTGTTTTCTCCCAGTGCCTTTGTACGCTGAAAATAGCCTTTCTGTGAGTATCAGGAGCCTTCGGCCAAGGGGCCGAAGGCACCCCCCAGTGTGTATTGTTGGCTGCTTGGTACTCGGGGCGCTGTGATTTGGGCCTGTTGTGCTTCCTGGGCATATTGGGCCTTGGTTTAGAGCAGTAGGAGTCTATGGGTCGGGGGTCCCTGGGCCACATACTCCATCACGAGTCCCTCACTCCTTTTGCCGAAAGGTACTTGAGGGAAAAGGAGTGATTCGTGTTTGTCCTCTGCCGTTGTTCCGTTGTAGTTTGTAAAGTTGTGAGGAGTTTTCTGTTTGCATGTTTCTACCGAGGGCAGTCCCTCAGTTACCCACATTTCGGGACTTGAGGGATCATGTTTGTTGTTGTGGGAGTTTTTTGATATTTTTGTATTTTGAGATTTTTCCCGAGGGGGTCCTCCAGTCCCCCACTCCTTGAGGCACTTGCAAAGTGGTGAAAAGGAGTAGAGTAGTGCCTGTCTGTAATATGAAGCCGAGGGGTGACGCTTTTCGTTTCATTTTGGGGGGATGCCTCGTTAAAAACCTCATTAGAAAAAACCCTGTGGGAAAAAATTCCAATGAGGGAAAAAGAGTGCACCGAATTCCCCCAATGATGAGTCGAAAAGGTGAAACCCTGGTCTGAAATGAGTGGCAGTATTCTTGCCGAAGGCTATCCTCGTCTGAGGGCGCGCGTGTTGCTTTGCCGAAGGCTCGCTTTTGATATCCTGGGAGATGCCGAAGGGGAGCCCTCAATTCATGAGAATGAGGGTGCGACGAATGTAGGTGATATTTCCTGTGTTGTCGAGGGGTCCCTTGTTTGTTAACATGTTGGGGGTTGTGGTGCCCCGAGGGGTTTCCTTGTTGCATAGCCGGGGGTAGCTGTTAATGAAAGTGTGCTCCCCAGGGGTTTCGTGGTCCTCAATGTGTTTGAGGGACGAGTGTTCCCGAGGGGTGTGCCCGTGGTGAAGCCGTGGGCTTTTGAAGGAGTGAGCCCGAAGTCACTTTTGATGTAGTATGAGGGGCATAGGCCGGGAGCACATCTGGATAAGTGTACATGGGGGCTCCTCTTGATGAAGTGGAGTGAAGGAGAAAGCCCGGGGGCTAGTTTTTTGGTTGATGAAGGAGTGGTCTGCTGAGGGCGTGCCCTTGGGTTCCTTGAATATAGTCGTTGTAATATGACCGTTGGAGGGGGAGGACACGTGGCACGTGGCCGTTGGCTGCCCGCGGGCGGGCGTCACTGATTGGGTGAAACGACGGTATGTAATGATGAATTTGCAACCGGAGGCCCGGTTTTTGGGCCCAAGCCCGGATCTGGGTGCCTATAAATACCCCAAGGCCAAGCCATTTCCCCTTTACGCATTCTTGTTGCAGCGAAGTGCTGGCAAAAATTTTCTAGAGAGAGAAAATCCCCTTCGGTCAAACCAAGTTCTCAAGGTCAGTTCTCCCCTCGGTTTTCCTTCAGCTGCATACTTAGTCTTTCCTGCCTTAGGTTAAGTGCTAGGATTGGTTAGGAAGCCCTCGGTTTTAGAAACCCTTCTGCCTTAGTGTAAGAAATGTCATCTCAAAGCGATTCAGAAGACATCTCGAGGGAGCCCTCGATTGATGATGAAGTGGTTTCCGAGGTGGAATCCATAAGCGAGCCCTCGACTGGTGACGATGCTGATGTGGCTGTGGAGATGCAGAAGGCCCTCGTTACCGAAGTCGAAGCCGAGGACTTCGAGCAGGTGATGGAGGACGAGGAGCTCGCCCTCGCTGTGCAGACTACGGAGGAGGAAGAGGAGAAGGAGAGAATGAGGGTGACTATCGTTATTCTTCCCCCTCGCGATGCCGGTGAAGCCAGCACCTCTCGGCCATTGAACTCGGCACCTCTCCAGGTGGCCCCCGGGAAGAAGAAGAAAACGAAGGCTGCCGTTCCCAAGAAGAAGGGTGGCGTTGCTGACCAGGGAAGGCCCATCGATCTGCCCGAGGGCTATTCCTTCTTAAATACCGCCGCCCTCGAGATCAAGTCGAAGGCTGACATGGCGGAGTGTTATGTCACACAACTGCATGTGGGCCCCTCGGATACTGTAATAATGTCGGGACCAAATGACCTCCTCTCCCAGGCCCCCGAAGGGTGTATAGCGGTGCATATCCTCTCGGTCATCATGGGCCTTCGGTTCCCACTGCATCCATTCCTTCGGGAATATCTTAGGTACGTTGGCCTGGTCCCCTGTCAACTGACACCAAACAGCCATTCGTACATAACCGGATTTCTCCATCTCTGCAAGTCCCGGGGGGTAACACCCAGCTTGGAGCTATTCTTTCAAAGCTTCAACTTGTGCCGGGGGGGCCATGCGAACGCCGAGGGGTTTGCGAATCTACAACAGGTATCCCAGTTCAAGTTGTTCACAGAGGCGCCCTCTTCTAACAAAGGGTGGAAGGATAGATGGTGTTACGTGAAGTTGGACAAGTGCCTGTTCCCGAGGGTGCTGCGGGACCGCTTCCGTCGGCATCCAAAGATCAGGAGTGCTGCCCTCGAGAAAGACGGCCTGATCCTGTCAAAAATCCCGGAGGGCCGGAACAAAAATATAGCCATCAAAGAGTGCACCCTAGAGAAGGATTTGCATGCCCTCGGGTTCCGGCGGTATCGTTTTCTTGGGGAGACCGACGAGAAGTACCCCGAGTTGGACAGAGCCTTCGAGGGAGCTGGAGGTTGGTGCCGAGGGCGTTGAGTTTTTGTACTCGGGATTTTTTTTGTTTTTTTATTGTCTATTCACGCTTTCTACCCCTCGGTCTAACTGTTTTTTGTTGTTTGCAGGCGTGAATATGGACGCAGGGAAACTCTTCGCCCTGAAGAAGAAAAAGGGCAAGGCCCAGGCTCAGAAGAAGGACCCTTCGGTCCAGCAGCCCGTTGAGGCCTTCTTTCAGAAGGAGATACCGGAGCCCTCCGTTGTGGCTACCGTTGCTGATGTGGCCGAGGGGGCCACGAAAAAGAAGAAAGGTAGCAAGGGGGTAGAGCCCCCTGCCAAGAAGCAGAGAGGTCTCGGGGATGTTGCTGATCAGGCGGCCCCCTTAGTGATCATAGAGGATCGCTCCTCTCCAGAGCCCCCGGTTGTCACCGCGGCGACAGCTCAGATGGACCTTCCCCCGGGAGGCTTCCCCCGGGAGATTCTTCAACTCTCCCTGGCTCCGGGAGCTTCCGTGATTCACGGCTTGGCCGAACCGAAGGCTTTCCTGAGGGGGATCACTTCGGTGATGGATAAGGCGGCCCTCTCGACCTACGACGACGAGGCCCTCGAGAGCAAGATCTTCCGATCTTCTCTAACTGTAAGTTTTTTCCCTTGTCCCTGTTTTAACATTTAATACCTTTCCAACATTCGTCTAACTCTTCTGTTCGTTGTTTAACATGCTTGCATAGCCCTCGGAGAGCATGCGCAAAGGCTCGAGCAGTGGCGCCTCCACAAGGCGGAGCAGGATGAGAAAATGAAGGAGCTCATCCTCAAGAAATCTGATGCTGTGAAGCATATGGCTCAGCTGGAGGAGAACCTTCGGAAGGCTACCGAGGGGGCTGAGCAGAGGCTAAAGGCTGCCGTGGAGGAGGCCAAACTTGAAGCCAAGAGGGTCGCCGCCGAGGCCTCCAAGAAAGCTGCTGAGGAGGCGGAGTCTGCCAAGGCCGAAGCCATCGCCAAAGCTCGAGAGGATGTCGTCGCTGCATTCATGGCTGAGGGCTGGAAGACCGAGGAGCGGCAGCAGTGGGTGGCCTCGGTCGTCGAGTCTTCGGTGGATAGCTGGGTGAAGGGCCCCGGGGCCGATTGGATGGCGGAAAAGGGTGACAGCTATTATCAAGGGGGTGAATTCTTCACTCAGCATATGGTTTACCGGAGGCTTGCCAGGCACTTCAGTGTTCCCCTCGAGCAATTTGATCCGGCAGTATACGGCCTTCCCCCCTTGCAACCTGATGTGAGAGTTCCCCTCCCCTCGGGCGAAGAGAGGCTGGTGATCCACGACTCTATGATGATGGTCGGAGATGACGATGATGCCATCGGGGAAGAGGTCTCCTCCAAAGCCGCCGAAGGGGCCGACGGTGAAGCTGCCAACTTGTAATTTGTACTCTGAACAACTCCTGATGCCCCTTTGAAATAACATTGTTAACTCTTGGCTCCGGCCCTTATGAACACCCTGCCCTATGTTTTTGATGAATTGATGCCTTCGGGCTTTTGTATATAATATGTTTTTATTTTTTGAATGTATGCCTTCGCCTTCTCTTCGCTAATGAATGCCTTCGTACTCTGATGTTTTAGTCAT